TTCTTCAAGAAACAGGTATGTGGATTGCAGAAATGGTGTCAGGTTCATTGGTTGGTAAAGTAGTATCTCGGGTAGCACAATAGGCTGGACTTCACGGGAGATGGGTCAGAGATATGAGACAAGGGTAGACATTTGAGAATCAGGGTAATCTGAGAAAGTTTGTAGTAGAACGAGGACTCAACTACAGTGACATCAGCTTGGTTGACATCAGCAGATGCATAATGACGTTTTAGCATTGGAGAATAGAAACAATGTTCTTTTTAAAGTCATGAATACCCAAGGAAGATTGATTTGAGTGGTTTCAGAATGTCTGGGTGTCGTATCATGAACAAAATAGACACATCCAAAGATATTTGGTGGTAAAGGGAACAACTCACAAGTAGAAAAGAGAACGGAATAAAGAACTTTGTTTTGAAGAAGGAAGGCACCTGATTAATGTGATGGAAAGCATTGAGGATGGAATCAGAGTAGTATTTAGGTTGTGTGTCGGAATGTGATAAGAGTGTGGCAGTGTGCAAGTGGTGACCACTAAATGATGGTTCTTACATTCAGCAATCCCCCATCCCATTTTGTTGAGGTGTCTGGCCCCAAGATAAACTTCTTTTTTAGTATTACATACACATGGGACTGGACACAAGATAATTGATGAAGCATTTCATGGCCAGCCATAAGCTAATTATATGGATTGGTAAAAAATATTTAGGGACTACCATGGCGTAAAATTGTGATCAAGCAGCCAAATTGAGTTTAAAGTTCAGCACAGATGTTTGTAAAGATATGAAGTAACTCAAAGTTTACAAACCACTACCAGTGAAAACACTTTTCAGAAAAAGGGATTGGACACGCAAATTCACCCCTGAATAAAAATTTTTAGATGGAACTAAGGAGTATCACAAGATATCTATAGGGCACAAATCATATACTACGGTCTAAGCCTTCTTCCAACGTCTCAAAGATGACATCCTTGGAATGATGTCATTGTTCTCAACTACACACCGTACAACAATAGCTCAAGAAGAGCAGTGATTCTTCACACACCGTACAAAAATTATATATATATACACACACACACACACAGCTGAAGAAGAGCAGTGATTCTTTGTTTTAAGTTTTGTTCTTAATTTGCCATGTATTTGTTTTTTTCTTTTTACCTTTGGGGCGTTGGTCTAGTCCTCCCCAAACGTGTAACATATCTCTCTCCTTAATGAACTTGGTAAGGGTTTCCTAGACCTTACCCCACCTAGTTTGGTGGTTTTCTCTGTAAAATATATATATATATATA